CATAATCTTTTGCAAAAGAGCTTACTATGTAAGTCCTTACTTTCAAATTTTTAGCATCAAGTTCAGTGAAGCCAATTATAGCTAAGTTTGCATCTATCCTGTAACAATCATTTGATTAATAACTATCACACTAGTAACCATATTCAATTATCATGATCAATAGAACCATCATGTTTCATTAGTTACTATGACTATCGGACAGTGACCAAGTTTCTCACTAACCAGGAGAGACAGCGATTCAAATTGATTACATCCAGTTGGGCAATCCCAAACACACAACCGTATGAGCCCACATTAGCTTGCGTGGGTCACCATTCACTCTATTCGGTGGTGAGTCTAGACTATTTCGCAAAACTCATGATCCTACATCCTCACATGAATTGCCTCAAGCCCGAATCCCATAGCAAACATGGTCTTGGACTAGTCCCCTTCCTTCAGGCTCTCCTCCCAGTAATGCTAACGGTCCAATATACTCAGCCCAAATGAGCTAATTTGCTTCTACCGGTCTAAGCATAGAGCGACCTATACATACTAGTAAGGATATAGGTATATATATTGTAGACAAGGTAAGACATGCAACAACGGGTTTCAATTCAACTCCTATACTTAATGCACAATACAAAATATAAACTCAAGTGTATTTTAAAAGAGAGGTAGGAGGCTTAGAATGCTCCGGGACTTGCCTGGGTTTGAAGCACAATGTTAGTTAGTTAGCTTCATCTTCAGAACATGATCAACCATCATCTTTATCTCCTGGACTTGGTCACTATTACACCATCTTCGGGTTTGACTCCTTAGTCCACCAATCAATTCATCATCCATTATCGCACCTAAATGATATGCATGGATGCAATGCATGTTTGAGTGAAACAAACACAACACAAATGTTTGGAAACATGGAGCACAAGCATCGCGTCACTAGGGTGGATTAGAATTTTACTCGTTTGTGGTTTAATTCCCATTATAATTGGAACCTACTCACAAGTTGGTTATTAACAACACAACACAATTGCATACTACCATAATATGCTAAGCATGATGGAATGCGTAAACATGATACATGATGATATATACAAATGTGTATAAGGACTCAAGCAAAATCAAACATCTTGAGTACAACTTTCCTTCATTATAAGAGCTAGGGCTTATATTACAAAAAGCATGCAAGCCATTATCATTTCAAAACAACTCTTATAATTCAATTATAAGGAATAGTAACTCTATAATTGAATTATAAAGAAACACATGTTCATTATGAAAGTAATTAATCTAACATGGACCAGTAGGGGTTTAACATTCTCCTTAATTCATTTTTACCTTAGGGAATTTATAAAAAAACTAAACAAAGAATTAATTAAGTCATTTTAACATTTATAAAGCATATAAAAGGCATAAACATACTTAAATCAATTAAATTGACTTGATCAAAACTGCATGAAAATCTTTGTAGAGGCATAAACTAACATAATTAATACTCACAAAAAGTTTCATTATTTTGGGCTTATATTGTTGGCTACACTAATTATGCAACAAAACTCAATTAGATTAATTATTGCATTTTCGAGCACACAAAAAATATTGTTTTATTGTAATGATTATTTTTATCGCATAGAGCACATTATCACAAAGCTAACAAAACAAGTTTCACATTTTTAGCATTTTTCTACATTTAGTTATGCATTTTACAAGAATCAGCACATTTATAAGAATTAAGAAAACACTAAAAAAAGAAAAAAGGGCTTCGGGCCCAAAGTGGCCTAGCTTGGCCCAATGGCACGAGCGGGCGTGGCCTGGTGATTTTGCAAAAAGGCCCTCGTGTTTTTACAAAATCACAATTAACCTAAACAACTGTTTGTTTCCCTCTGTTCCTTCTCACTTAACACCCCACCCTTCTCTCTATTTACTTTTTTCGGTCCTTTGCTCAACATAGAACACAACACTGGCCGCTAGTATAGGGTTAGGTAATGTTCCAAGATCGCCGTGACTTGATTGGTTGCACGGTCAAGATGGAGGGGGCTCGAAATGGTGCTACCGACAACGATGGCGGACACGGTGATGTGAACCGGCGGCGACGATGCGTTCCGGCGCATCCTATGCGAAAGCGACAAAAAGAAGGAGCCGATCATAACCACAACATCAAGGCAAAGCTAGCGCAACAAACGGGAGGTCCAACGGCTCTCCAGAGTGGCGAGGCCATGGCAGAGGAGCTCACGGCGGTGATGGCGGACAGCCACGGTGGAACTCCGGCGCACGAACGACTCCGGCTGGTAGAGAAGGCACAACCGGGTGCAAACTACACATGTTGGGTAAGAAATTATTCAAGCTTCAAAGTTTGAACACAAGGCAAAGTTGTATTCATTTCATGATCGTACTGTACATGTCGTAGGGGGTATTTATAGGGCCCCAGTCTTCGTATCTTAGATAAAATGACTATTTTACCCCTAACTCAAATATTTACAACCCTTTTCAACTATAAGGGTGAAGTGGTCATTTTACACTACTTCAGTCTTCATCCCTCTATTTGGCCATCATTCTTCTAGGAAATTCTGCCTTTTGTCTTAGTCGATTTCTGCTCTGCTTTTCTTTGTCTTCATTAATCAGCGCAGCCAAATCTTTACCCGCGAAGTTAAACTTCGGTCTTCGCTTTGGTCTTGACTTCATCTTTATCTTGATTTCTCCTTCTTCTTGCCGAAGTCAAATCTTTTCATACGAAGTCAAAATGTTGTCTTCGCTTTCCTTTTTCTAGCAAACAGATTTTGTTACGAAATCTTAAGAATTTAGCTCTAAAGTTTGGGGCTGTGTTTTGTGATGAAGTTAAATTCCCAACAATAGCCCCTCGCGGACGAAGGCCTACTCCAAAGGTCTGAATTCCGCAAAGTTTGAATTTTAAAACAAAGATAGAAAATGCCATCCCAAACTTTGGAGTTGGCCATTTATATCCGTTAGACTATGTACAGTCCGTTTTTTTAATTGCAACAGTCGATTTGACCGACGGAATTCAAACCGTTGGGTTTGACCCGAAGCCACCAATATATAATGCGCCCCTTCCCCCTATTTTTATTGCTTCATCGAAGACAGGGAGGTGCTGCTGCATTTTTCTTTTAAGCGAATTTGAGCTCTTGCAAAGCCAAGTTCTTTTGCGAAGACTGGTTTTCTCCTAAAAGCTATAAAAGTTTGATTGGCTAAGGTTAGTTTTTACTTTACTTTGTTTATTTGTATTTAGTTTTCCCCTCCTTCTATTTTTTGTCTTTTGAGATATCTTTTTTTGTAGCAGTCTGGGTAGGAGAAGAATGTTTCTGAGAATTCTCCAGTTGGTTCTAATCAATCTAGATCTAGCGAAGATTTGTTAGATGTCTCCGCGTTAGAGTCAGAATTGGTTGGAGAGGACACCAAGTCTTTGATTTTTGGTAAAACATTGATGGATGAAGCCAAGTTGGATTGGATGGTTACAAATAGGATGGTGAAAAAGGCATCTATTCGTTTGCCTAAAAATGAAACAACTCCTAAGCCAAAGCCACATGAGTGTTGTGTTTTGGGATCAATTCTCTGCTGGACTTCGCTTGCCTTGTTAGGATTTTGTTGAAGAAATTTTGAAGGAGTATGTTGACGGTATTTAACGTTCATCATAAACCATAAATATAACTTATATAAATGCATAAAAAGGATCACAAACATAGGTCTAGGGGTTTAAACTAATAAATTTCATAAGTTTTGGTGAATCTGTGTTTATAGGACGATTTACTCAGAAAACCATCATGGAGGGCCTATTCGTCAAAGCAAATCACGCTTATCCATAGCGAAACCGACGTGGAAAGACTCTAAAAGACAAACCACCAAAGCGGAGGGCAGGTGGCTGCCACGTGGGGCTGTCCGGCCCCCTAGGCCCACCTGTCAGCCCCTCCTACGAATGTCGGTTCTGTACCGTCTCCTAGATTGCATCTACGCCGTTCTTTCAAGTCGGTTTGATCCGAGGGTCCAAAATTGATGCTCCGGCCTATATATAGCAGCCCCTACCCTCCTCCCTAGAGCATCCCTTAAACCCTAATTCATACCTCTCCTTTAGAGATCAAGATACACCAGGAGGATTAGGTCTAGACTCTCCAATGTAGTAAATTAGTAGCTCGGGAGTGAGGGTCGAGTTGGGCTCATGCTCAAGTTCTAGATCTAGTCTTGGAGCCTCGACAAAGCCTTGTATCTTCACTTCCACATCTTATAAGACTTATTATAAATTTATCATATTCCTATCTACATGCTATGCTTACTTTTAATATATATCTTGCTTAGTTGAGGTTATCATTACTTTTGTGTGTGGGTTCATAGAGCGCTTAGCCTTCTAGTTTATCGATTGGGCTAAGTAGTCGAGCCTCATGTAAGCATGGTGCTTATACGATGCTCTGCCTCTGAGTACACCATGTTCTCTGGTTGGGTGGTAGCAGCGGGAGGTGACAGCCCCGTCTATCCTTTGTAGTCCACTCTGAATTGAGTAGGTTCTTAAATCGTAGGACCGTAGTCACGTCGGTAGAGTTATCTATTGTGGGAGCTCTACCGTGTAAGCGGCGTCCTGAAGTGCACAAGAGTAGAGTTTGTCTTAACTATAGTTGGATGTATAAATACTTTGACAATGTAATAAGAATGTCACATGAATCTACCTCGCTCGTTGCTCTCTCGAGTTGACTAGTTTACATTATCTTATAGATCTACCCCCTGAGTATCATTATCCTCAATTTCTATCATTACCTTCACCCCTGCTCTAGCCACTGGTATGTTGATAGATAAATACTCCTTTGATATTCAATAAATCTTTACTCCATTGTTTTCCTGTGGTAAAATATAAATAACGATACCTAGAATATTTCCAGTAAAATGCTACAATGGTATTATGTGCGCTTGTGGAATCCTTCATATTCTATTTGCGTTAATAAATACCAACAACATATAACATTGAGATGCATCATTTGACTCCAAATGGGATAGCTAAAATTGCTCTTTTTATCTAGGCTATGAAATCTCAAAATGTGAACTTGGATATTGGAGCCATTTGTACTCTTCATGAGATGCATACTCAGTTTAGGAACAAAACAGTGGATGGTAAGAATATTGTTAAGTACTTTGGTTGCTTTAGTTTTAAGCCTGCTCATGACGCTAAGCAGATTGCACCAGCTTCCAAGAACAAATGGGTTGAAAATTGGTATCAATATTGGTTTTATCATTCTGTTCCTTTGGTTGAAGAGAAGGATGATTCAAGGAAGATTGTGAAGAAATATCCTTTGGCCGCGAAGATGACCAAGAATATTTTTGACTGTAAGCCTGAATTTACTAGTTCAAAGAATTCTAGAACTTGTGAAAAGGCTTATAAGTTGACTGCCAATCTGCATAGTGCTCGTGATCTTTACGAGGAATATATCACAGCTCGTGTTTGTCCTCTTAAAAAAGGCTGGAGCTTTGTACGCTTTTATAAGAAGGTTGTGAGAGGAAAAGATTATTTGTATCCTGATAAAGAGGTTTTTCGTTCGAAGAAGTATTCGAAAGATGAAGATTTTGTTTCTGTTGTTGAAGCCAAGGCAGTTGAAATTCTTGGCAAATTTTTGAAGAAGGAGAAAGATTTGATGGACAAAATTCTGGGGAAGGATTATAAACATTTGAATAGGGTTTTTGAAATTACTCAAATCACGTATAATGAAAGGCCTCCGCCAGCGTATTCTCGTACAGCGAAGCCAAGTATAGAGAATGTTACTAAGAAGAAAAGAGCCGGTGATCAACTTACTAAGAAAACTAGCAAAAAGAAGAAGGTTTCAGCTTCTTTTGATTCAAAAAAAGTTGCAGAAGATGAAGTTCATTTGTGTGTTGATGCTGACAGTCAAGAAGTTCTTAGTTAGCAAGGCCATGGCAGAGGAGCTCGCGGTGGTGATGGTGGGCGGCCGCGGTGGAACTCCGGTGCACGGACGACTCCGGCTGGTAGAGATGGTGCAACCGGGTGCAAACGACGCGTGTTGGGTAAGAAATTATTTAAGCATCAAAGTTTGAACACAAGGCAAAGTTGTATTCATTTCATGATCGTACTGTACATGTCGAAGGGGGTATTTATAGGGCCCCAGTCTTCGTATCTCATATAAAATGACTATTTTACCCCTAACTCAAATATTTACAACCCTTTTAAACTATAAGGGTGAAGTGGTCATTTTACACTACTTTAGTCTTCATCCCTCTATTTGGCCATCATTTTTCTAGAAAATTCTGCCTTTTATCTTAGTCGATTTTTGTTCGGCTTTTCTTTGTTTTCATTAATCAGCGAAGCCAAATCTTTACCCGCGAAGTTAAACTCTGTCTTTGCTTTGGTCTTGACTTCTTCTTTATCTTGATTTCTCCTTCTTGGTGAAGTCAAATCTTTTCATACGAAGTTGAAATGTTGTCTTCGCTTTCTTTTTCCTGCAAACAGATTTCGTTATGGAATCTTAAGAATTTAGCTCCAAAATTTGGGGCTGTGTTTTGTGACGAAGTTAAATTTCCAACAACGCGCAAGGATGAGGCGACGCTAGCAGTGAGAGGAATTGGACGGGGATGGCTCGACGGCGACGAAATTAGCTAGTGAGTGGAGCTGCTCTGTGATGGTGCAGAAAAAAAAAAAGGAGACGGCGGCCGGCATTTGGTGATTTAAAAGGGCGTGGGAGATACTTCTCGGCTTCGCCAGCGTCGCACAAGCTTGGGCACGTGGGTGACTATGTGCCCGGGCGTGAGAAGCGCCGAGAAGGTGGCCAAACGGCACATGACGGTGAGCAGCCTGCGAAATTGTTGCTCGGGTTACTGTTCATGCCTGGTCGTCCTTCTCCTTTCTTTTTCTCCCAATCCGGTTAGCCAAAACCTAAACCAATTACTCCTTGTTGTAGAGCTAAATGAGTACTACAACTTTGCTTAAAGGAGTTTGGTCAGAAATGAGCTGATTTGAAAAATATATAATCCCAAATATGGCTACATGAAAACTGGAAACTGAAAAATTCAATTTCAATATGGCCAAAATTTGGAACTTTAAAACAGTACTGGGTTCGATTTTAGGGTCTCTATTTTCCTAGGTTATAGGCCAAACTAGGCTTCTTTTGATTCAGAAAAAGTTGCAGAAGATGAAGTTGATTTGGGTGTTGATGCTGACAGTCAAGAAGTTCTTAGTCAGCAAGCTCGCGAAGATGAGGTGAGAATGATTAGTTTAGTTTTTTATTCTAGTGGTTTGACTCCGCCGATGTTGACTCCGCTTGATGACTATTTCTAGAATTTGGCTTGTGATGAAAATGTTGGTGGAGGTAATTTGTCTTCGCATCAAAAAAATGTTGGCGAAGACACTTTGACTTCTTCACCTCCTATTGTTGATGCTGGTGCTACTGTTGCTACTACTACTGCTGTAACACCCCAGGTGTTTGCCACCAGTTAAGCAATGTGTTTGAGCTCGAACATGGCATATTAAGTGATGATGAAGATGTCAAGGTCCAACCTATAGAAACGAGCCCCAACCTAAATTTGGATATTACACCTTTGCTCGCCTATAGACCCCTTTTCAAGATATATGCTTGGGTGGTGTGATTGGGGTATCTTCATGTGTCTCACATCAATACCCATCTATATTGGGCACTCGAAAAGTTTCATGAAGTTTGGAATCAAAAAGTCACATGAAATGATAAGTTATATCCTTGTTGGAATGATTTTACTAAGTGCTTGAATTGCACTATTAAGTGAATGAGAACATGAGATGTCAACCAAACCTTGCAACCTTGCCAAAATGACTCTAGATGAACTCTACAACAAAAGTCATGAGAGGTTCATGTTGGGCAAATGCCAAGAAAATGCTCCAATGGATCAAAAAGGATAATTTAAGCTTCATCGTGATCCTACTTTGGTGAAAGTAGAACAGCAGGTTCTATACCAGTTTTGAGATTGGACCTTAAATGAAAGTTGTAGTCTATATCATGTAGAACAAACTTTGTTTTTGGACTAAGAGCTAGATCAGCTTGGAAGTAAGTCAAATCGAGGTCACAACATCGAATTTGCTGTTGTTTTCAGCACTTGAAATATTCTAAGTCTAGAAATTCATTGACATCGGCATTGGCGTCTCGCATTCTCCAAATTTTGTTAAGCAACTTGACTTGATCCCAAAATAAAAGTTGGAGCATACATCGGGAAGAAGAGCGTGCAAAAGGATGGCACTCGTTGGACCTTGTCTTGACCATCGATTTTTGGAGTTTGGTAACCGCTATCAAGACACTGACACTGTCATTTTGTGGCTTAATTACCTGCTGATGAAGAGCTCTAACGACCATACAGCCTTAATCAAGTTTGTAGAGCATCTAGAGTAGAACAACTTTTCTACTAGCGCCAAGGTCCGAATGTGCACGGAATATGCCGAAAACGGACTCCAAGTCGGGCTCCATCGCGCGCGCCACGTGCTCGACAGTTTGTCTTCGTGGACGCCATGCACCATGGTGCGCTCCCACCATTGCCGCCATGGCCGCCGGTGGTGCTCCCGTGGCCACGGTGCGCTCGCTCTCTCTCTCTCGCCTCTGCCCTGCTGGCCACACCTTCAACCTCCCCACCTTGCGATGCCTCCCCAACGTCTCTTCTCCGGCTTCCTCCACTGCTGTGGGCACCGCCGCCGGTGTGCCCGTCGCGGGTGCCACTGTTGAGCGCGGCCATGCTGCCTCAGGCTGTCATGGACCATGCTGTGCCACTATGTGTGTGCGCGTGGGCCTGGGCTAGCGTCTCCACCACCGCTCGCCGCCGCCGCCCCTCCCCAGCCGGCCGAATCGGCCACCGGCCGGCCTTCGCCGACGTCCTCCTCAGCTCTCTGTTCTGGAAGAAGGCGAAGGACCTCGCGCTTGAATAAGGGAAAAGGAAGGGGGTTAAGTGAATAGACAGTGACTCTGATGAATAGTGCAGTAAGGATATATTTGTTGGGTTTAATTTGTGTAAATTCCAGGGACCTCAATACAAGATTTAAATTTCCTTTCTTTGATTTTTGCAGATTTGAATGCTCCACTTTGAAAATTCATAGTAATTCGTAAAAAAATCGTAAACTAGAAAATGAGGACTTTTTAGAATCCTTGTGAAACTGTCTATGTAGTAGATCTATAATGTGGCATGTTTTAGTTTAAATATTTTGCTGTAAAAATAGATCTATGCAGCTAGGTTCCTGTTACTTGTCATGTCTTGTCTTTTTCATAACTGCAGTTGTTATGCTCAAATAAATGTGAAATTTTTGTGGAGTGCTACTATGGTGATTGTTGTTGTCTGGTAAAAATTTCAGGAGTTTAGGATTTATAGTTTAAGAATTATAAAAATAACAAATGCCCTATATTGCTTTGCTTCTACTCTGAACAGTTCTGCATGTTTGAATTAATTGGCTTAGTTAAGTTATGAATCATGACTTGGTGAAAATACATGAGTTGTGGTACTTTTCTTAAGATTTCAAAAAAGTTAAATATCATAACTTTTGGTTAAGTAGATCTTGAGTTATACTTGCTTAAATCTCTATGGCTGTTTCTGCCCAAAACCAGAGAGGGTTTCCTTGTTCTTATTGTGGGGCCTTCTTAGTAGTAGAATTAGCTTTAGGTATTTACAACAAAGTTGTTTAGAATTTGCTAAGATTTCTAAAAAGTCTAGAACCACATTTATAGTACATGTATAACTCCATTTATAGCTATTTAAAGTGGCATGTCAGTTTCTGTCTATGTTTTGGATAGAGATGCAATTATTGGATTAGTTGACCCTTCTAACTATAAAATCATCTTAATATGAGAATAACAAAGTTGTAGATAATTCATGTATCTAGCTTCTATTAAAATTTGGTGGTATTTGGCCTTCTGGTTTGTGAGTTATGCCTATTTAAAGTTGGGTTTCAGAAATGGCTGCTTCTGTCAATTGTGGACCAGTTTCTATAAATAGGTATATTTGACTTAGTTAACTTGAGAATCATGCTAAGATGATTAAAGATGAATTGTAGAAAATTTCATAAGCTTTCCAGATTGTCTTGTTGCATGTCTTTTGGATTAGTACAACTCCTATTATGAGTAAAATTAGCTGCTGCTGTTTGCAGCCTTGACTCTATGATTGCCGTGAATAACTGGTTTGTCTTGAATGCTTATATGATGCATCTTGTGTTACCATTCATCACATTCATACACTTGCATATTGCATCTCATCTAGGTACGCTAGATGAACCATGTGGAGAACGTGATGTTGGAGCCGAACCCGACGACGGTGTATGGAGGATCTATCCCGAAGATGGAAGGACTAAGCGAGTGCTAGGACCTGAGACGTCACCAGGACGGTGCAAGCTAACTGAACTGACTTGTGTCAGATCCCAGGCAAGCCCCGGAGCATTATAAGTCTCCTAATTTATAAAAGCAATTCTTTCTATATATATGAGTTTATATATTGTTGCATTAAGTTGTAGGAGTGGATTGAAACCGTTGATGCATTTATTACTATCCTTGCCTACCTTATTACCTTTTACCCTGTTAGGTCAGGATCGAATAACTGCTTAGCCTTGCTTAGACCGGTAGCGATCGGTGATATCCGGTCACCTACATTATAGGTGGTTACCGGAAGAATTTAGCTATGGAAAGAAGGATATCCTGGAATTAACCCTCTGTGATGGATAATTGGAGACCAGACGGAAAAGTTGGAGGCAACCAGACAGGGTTCTGGGGTGCTGTTAGTTTCCGTCTGTGTCGATTAAGGACCGACCGTTGTTGGCCCTCAGGTCATGTTGAACGCATGCCTTACATTTAGCTGGCCGAATAAAGTACCTTTCGACCGCAAAGCTGGGAGATTATTCGGGCCGAGTAGATTGCCCGCAGCGCACTGTATCAGAGCAGGTGTGGTAGGACACGGG